GTCTTGCTCCGATCCTCCCTCCTTCTCTGCTTTCGGACCTGCTTCCCCTGTCACACTGGAATCTCCACCCCCTTCACTGCGCTCTGGCAGAGAAGCCGGTCCCGACTCCCAGCTCCCACTCTGGGTTCCCCTGCTGGTCCCCTGCTCCTGACGGGTCCCCCCTGTGATTCCCCTTGGCCTGACCACAGGCGCCCCCTTCTGGGAATCCTCCGATTCACTTGAAAGACTCATGGAATCCCTCAAGTCATTGTCATCCTCTTCCTCGCTGTCCTGGGATTCTTCCCCCTCGCTCTCCGTCTCCTCCCTCACCTGTGCCTCTGTCCCTGAACCGCTGACAGGTGTTAATGCAACATTAACCCAGAAATTGCAAAGTGTATGTAATGAGACCAAACTAACAAAACACCATTGTCAGGGGCTCAGGAGCAGAGGCGCAGGGGAGAGAGGAAATGGAGAGCGGAGGGGAAGAATCTGAGGGCAGCGGAGGGCAGAATGAGAGTGACCCGAGAAATTCCATAAGCCTCTCCAGTGAATCAGAAGATTCCCAGAAGGGGGCGCCGATGGCCAGGGCGAGGGGGGTCCCAGGGGGGACACACCAGAAGCAGGGGGCCAGCGGAGACTCCCAAAGCAGTAGCTGGAGATCAGGACCAGCTTCCCCGCCAGAGCGTAGTGGGGGGGAAGAGCCCCATAGGTCAGAGTCAGCGTCTCCTCCGGCAAACAGGGAGGAGTCAGACCCAGCTAGCATCCCCGAAGAGGGAAGCAGCGACAGGAGCAGTATAACGGTCAGAAGGAAGGTGGCAGGCTGGGCGCGCGCGCCAAGTTCAAATGTACAGGCGCGCGGGACAGCAGAAAGCCCGGATTGGGAACCAGGTCCTAAAGCTCGCCGGAGGGAGGGGGAAGACTCAGGGGACTCAGCGTCAGAAGAGTCTAGGAAGGGCAGAACCTCGGCGGACAAGCGGACCCAGAGGAGAAGGGAGCAGAGGAAGAGGTGGAGCAAGGCTAGGGTCTTAAACTGGTGTCTGGGGGGGAGGAGACTCAGACGGAGCTTCGACGGTCTAGGGTTAAAGACGTAGAGCTGCGCGCCGCGGCTGTAAAAGAGAAACTTAACTTCAATAAAGACTATTTTATGTAACAACGGACTGGCGTTGGTCCTCTGTGAGCTGGGACCTGAGGCAGCTCTGACAACCATGTTTTCGCTTCCATATGTGTAGAAAGAAGACGAACACGCTTTGATTGGGCTTACTTCGAATTGTTGTTTTGGGGATTAGAAAGCACATTCACCAAAAAATCGCAGTGAAATGTTTGTTATCAGTCCAAATTAAGCATACGTGTTTTGGTTCCATCTCAATAGAAACAAGACGAATAAGCTGGGATTTTTTCATTCGGTGTTCATTCACCAATAAATAGCAAAGCGAAGTGTAGTAAGCTATAACAAAGCAAAACAGGTTGTTTTGGGTTCCAGCTACATCGAAAGAAGAATCTGGATTTCGCTTATTTCAAGTTGTGTTCTTTGGTGTTAATGCAACATTAACCCAGAAATTGCAAAGTGTATGTAATGAGACCAACATAACAAAACACCGTGTTTTCGCTTCCATATGTGTAGAAAGAAGACGAATAAGCTTGGATTGGCGTTACTTTCAATTGTTGCTGTCAGGGGTTCAGGGAGAGAGGCAGAGATGAGGGAGGAGACTGAGAGCGAGGGGGAAGAATCCAGGAACGAGGAGGAGGAGGATGACAATGACTTGAGGGTTTCCATGAGTCTTTCAAGTGAATCGGAGGATTCCCAAAAGGGGGCGCCCCTGGTCAGGCCAAGGGGAGCCACAGGGGGGACTCGTCAGGAGCAGGGGAGCAGCAGGGAAACCCCGAGTGGGAGTTGGAGATCGGGGCCGGCTTCCCCGCCGGAACGGAGTGAAGAGGGTGGAGTTCCCAGTGTGACAGACGAAGCAGAGCAGGAAGCGGAGAGGGGAAGGAGATTGGGGCAAGACGTCCTGCCGGAAGGGGCGGAGAGTAGTACAGAGAGTAGTGTAACTGTCAAGAGGAAGGTCAGGGGTAGCGAACGCGCGCCAAGTTCAAATGTGGAGGCGCGCAGAAATGCGGAGAGCCCGGAGGAGCCTGGTCCCAAAGCACGGAGGAGGGGGGAACAGGCGTCTGGGGACTCAGCGTCAGGGGAAAGCAGGAGGGAAGGAACCCAGGGGGGCAGAAAGACCCTGCGGAAAAGGAAGGACAGGAAGAGGTGGACCAGCACAAGCCTCTTAAACTGGTGTAGAGGCGGGACTGATTCAGAGGGGACTTCAGCGGTTTAAGCGTAACAGACGTGGGGCTGCGCGCCTCGGCTGTGGAACAAACAATGTACTTCAATAAAGACTTTTGTAAATAAAGTGGACTTGGCGTTGGTCTCTTGTGAGCTGGGACCTGAGGCGGCCCTGACAGTTGCTTTTCGGATTAGAATGCACATTCACCTAAAAATCGCAGTGAAATGTTTGTTATCTGCCCAAACCAAGCATAGGTGTTTTGGTTCCATCTCAGTAGAAACAAGACAAATAAGCTTTAATTGTTCTTTCGGTGTTCATTCACCTACAAATAGCAAAGTGTCACAAGTCTAAACAAAGCAAAACAGGAGGAAATATTAGTGCTGAAAGATGGGTGAGACAACAGAGTGGTGGTGGCTCCCATATTTCTGTAAATAATAAATGGTAAATGATGATAATAATCTGCCCCAATATTTCCGTAAATAATAAATAGTAAATGACGACGGTAATAGTAATAATAATGGGTTGTTTTCCCTTCATGAAACACACACACGTGTGTGTCCCTGCCTGCCCACCCAACAAAGGGACTCACGTGGCAGGACCCGTTTGCCGCCAGGGTGGGGCTGACCAGCTCAGCTCAACCTGAGTGGGTGCCGGAGACATAGATGAAGTAGCCTGTGCTGAGGCACAGCCAGCAAGATGCCATCCCAAGGGTAATATTTATTCATTTTGTGGACTGTAGGAGGCATCACTGTAGAACATACAGTATATCATTTTATATATATCTTTTTTTACACCAGAGCTTTCCAAATGGCTTGTTGTGACACTCTATACATTGTATATAGAGTGCCTTTCATCCGAAGATGGTTGATCAATATAAATTATCTATCTATCTATGGACACACACACACACACATATACATACACATATCCATATTTTATATATATATATATATATATATATATATATATATGCATACACACACACACACACACACACATCCATACATCCATTTTATTTATATACATATATCCATGCATATATATATAGACATGGATATATCCACACATACATACATACATATATCCACAAATCCATTTTATGTATACACACACACACACACACACACACACACACACACAGTCAAACCTTGGTTGTCGAACATAATCCATTCCAGAAGCCTGTTCGGCTTCCAAAACATTAGACAACATGGCTTCCAATTGGCTGCAAGAGCTTCTTGCACTCAAGCAGAGGCTGCGTTGGAAGTTTTGGCTTCCAAAAACTGGAGCATTTACTTCCAGGTTTTCAGCATTCTGGAGCCGAAACATTCCAAAACGGAGCCGTTTGGGAACTGAGGTTTGACTGTATGCACTCACACACATACACTGTAGGGGAAACACGGGAGACCATTGTAAATTCGAGGAATTAGATGACATGTCTCTTTCCCTTTTACACCCGTGGTTTAAGGTTTGCTAAAACATGATAGTATAATTTGTTTTTCACACACCTGTGTCAGGAGTTTTCTGGGTCCCCTGTGTTCTAAGTGCTGATTGGCTACTCGGGAGGATACCCAGTTGCAGTGAATTGGGTTGGAGACTCCCTGGGTTGGAGACTCTCAGCTGCTCTGCATTAGTTGCACCTGGTGTCCCAGGCTGATCATGAGTGATGCCTGCTAACCAGGTGCAATCAATCAAATCAAAGTTGTCTATAAAAGCTGTAGGCTGAAGGGGCTCAGTGAGCTTCTTCACAAATGGAGGTACCAGATGCTGTGAGACTGTCGGCCAGGGGTCTCTCTCGCTGCTCTACCTGGAGCTCCGGGCAGCTGAAGGGGAGATTGTGTGTGACTCCTCTCTGGTATGCTATAATTTGTGTTTTGTATGCCTGCTGCTATCTGTTAACCTTATGCAAATAAAGCATTGCTTATTCTTCATCCACTGGCGTGCTTATTGGCTCCAGATCCAGAAATAACCCTGCCCTTGGCAGAACATATACAGTGCTTTTTTTCTGGGGGGGACGCAGGGGAATGCATACTCCTAAAACATTTTGTGACTGTACTTTTGTCCAATTACTGTATTTATTTTTCCCGGTTTGAACTATAAAATGGTGATTTTCTTGAGTCAAAATGAGAGTACCCCCAATCATTTTTTTTAGAAAAGAAGCACTGCATATATACACACACATATACATATATCAATTTTATTTTTATATATTTACAAATGGACACCTATATCTAGGCATGTATATTCTTGTATATAAACTTCCGCGGCCCACCCGCACCATCCCTCCGCCAAGGGGCACGAGAGGAAGGCCACTGGGGGAGAAAGGCAGGTGAGGGCGGGGCGGGGGGCAGGGGGTCGAGAGAGAGCGGCTGGGAGAAAGAGAGAGGGCCAGCCTGGCTCGGCACGTCTCTGCTGGCCCAACGTCGCAGCGCCTCTTCCCCCCTTTCCCCTCCCCTTCCTGTCCTCTTGCCTCTCCTCCGGTGGCACCTCCTTCCGGTACCGCTGCCCTCGCCCAACATGGCGGCAGCACAGCCTCTTCCGACCGTTACCCTCCCCTTCCTGTGCTCATGCCTCTCCTCCGGAGGCACCTCCTTCCGGTACTCCTTGCCCTCGCCCAACATGGCGGCAGCACAGCCTCTTCCGCCCGTTTCCCTCCCCTTCCTGTCCTCTTGCTTCTCCTCTTCAGGCTCTATTGCCTATAGTCATAGTTTGAGCTGGGGAAGTTGCAGCGGAGCTTAGAGGTAAGGCAGGGCAGGGCAGAAGGAAGGAAGAGGAGCAAAGGGCACAAGGGTTCTGTGGTGGGACTAGATGACCCTTGAGGGCCCCTCCAACTCTACAATCCTATGGTTCTGTGAAATGAGCCACGGCAAAATGCATCCAGATATGCCACTGCTGGGGCACCTACACAGGTCAGACAGCTGCACAAATCTGTCAGAATCTCAAAGTCTGAATTCAAAAGCCAACCTTCCCAAGTTTTTATTAATTGATTTAATTTCATGAAATTTATATACTACTTGGTTGTCAGAAAAAACCTCCAGGCGGTTTGCAAAACAACGAAACATTAATATTATCAATAAGGACAATTCAAAAAACAGCTACATAAAAACCTTTGAAGAAAAGAATTCAAAAATGGCTTCAGAATTCAGGATCTCAAAATTTTTATTTTGAAATGTTTATTTTTGAGATGCACTTTAAAAAGAAAGCACATCTAGCTTCTGATTTTAAATCCTATCAGCACCAAGAAATGTTACCTGTATTGTTTTCCAAGACCTTTTTCAAGGTACAGTATCTGAAATCGTTTAACTCTCCTGCCTTATGGATGCTGCATTTTAATGTTTTATTGATATTGTAAGTTGCCCAGAGAATGTTGTTGCCTGATGGCACATGTATATAGATGGCAAATAAATAAATAAATGATCCAGTTGACTAAACTGTGGATGTGTCAATTTTTTCCCTTGTCTTCTATGTCCCCCCACCTTCAAGATCCCCCCTGCCGCCCCCAGCAAAAAGAATTGGACAATGCCAGCCTCAACCAGCGGCTTGTGCTGTTGAGCAGCCAGGTGCAGGAGCTCAGCGCCCCCAAGGACCTGGATGCCAACTCGCTGGCTGCCCTCCAGAAGAAACTTTGGGACCTGGAGTCAAGAGCCTCTGAGCAGCAGAAGGAGCTGAGCTCCCAAGCAAGCACCATTGAACAGCTGGAACAGGTAAGGTGGCCTCCTGAGGATGGGTGCTGAGTGATTTGGCTTTCAATGGCACTTTGGGTGCAGCCTTGCCCTCCCTCTGTTCCAAGAGCACCAGCTAGGAAGTACTGAGCTAGGCACAAGAGCTTGGGAAGAAGAGGACCGTGCAAAACTCTCTTCTCCACAGCCCTCAGTCTCCCGCCCCCCATCTAGAGTCAATAGGACTGACCTCAATTACAGGGTTATTTTAAGGAGCACAGAAAGGTGATGCAGGGGGGCAAGCAACCTACACCCCCCCCAGCCATGGACTACAAGGAAGAGAAAATAAGATGAGGGAGTAGCAGAAAGAGAGGGGGGAGAGGGTGCCTTCAGTGATGTTTGGCTCCACCCACTACAGATCAGTGGTTCCCAACAAATTTTCCATAAGTGAATGTGGCTCTCAACAGAAACCCTCAACAAGTCACCCTCCCCTTTAGTACTGACATTACAGGAACCAGAATCTAGTACCAAAAGAGTTTTGGAACTGATTCAAGACTTTGGTCAGGTTGCAGGATTTAAACTGAATAAGTTAAAAACAAAGGTTTTAGAGAAAAATTTAACGGCGATTGAAAGAGAGAGGTTTCAGAATGAGACAGGTTTAACAGTGGTTAAGAAAGTGAAATACCTGGGGATTAACATGACAGCTAAAAATGGGAACTTATTTAAAGACAATTATGAAAAATGCTGGTCAGAAGTGAAAAAAGATTTAGAAATTTGGTCAAACTTGAAGCTTTCACTGCTAGGCCGTATTGCTGCGATAAAGATGAATGTATTGCCAAGAATGTTATTTTTGTTTCAAACATTGCAAATTGTGGACAAGATGGATTGTTTCAAGAAGTGGCAGAGAGATATTTCTAGATTTGTCTGGCAGGGCAAGAAGCCCAGAATAAAATTTAAAATATTAACAGATGCAAAGGAAAGAGGTGGATTTGCTCTGCCAGACCTTAAACTTTATTATGAATCAGCAGCTTTCTGCTGGTTGAAAGAATGGCTACTCCTTGAAAACACAGACATTTTGGATCTGGAAGGTTTTAATAATGTATTTGGATGGCATGCATATCTGTGGTATGATAAGGTCAAAGCACATAAAGCATTTAAAAACCATATTGTCAGGAAAGCATTGTTTAATGTTTGGACAAGATATAAGGATTTGCTTGAAAATAAAACCCCAAGGTGGTTGTCACCGATGGAAGCGAAGGCCCAGAAAAAACTAAATATGGATGCCAAATGGCCGAAATATTGGGGAATTTTGGAACAAGTGGGAGACAAACTGAAATTGCAGAGTTATGAAAAACTAAAAAATAAAGCACGAGATTGGCTTCATTATTATCAAATAATGGAGGCATACAATTCGGATAAGAAAATTGGATTGGTGGAAAAATCAAAATTGGAAACAGAACTGTTAGATCCCAAAACTAAGACTTTGTCAAGAATGTACAACTTGCTGTTGAAATGGAATACTCAGGATGAAACGGTGAAATCTGCTATGATTAAATGGGCACAAGATGTTGGACATAACATTATGATGGCTGACTGGGAACAGTTATGGACCACAGGTATGAAGTTTACGGCATGTAATGCCTTAAGAGAGAATATTATGAAAATGATATACAGGTGGTACATGACACCAGTCAAGCTTGCAAAAATCTATCATTTGCCCGATAAGTGTTGGAAATGTAAAGAAACTGAAGGTACATTCTTTCACCTTTGGTGGACGTGCCCAAGGATTAAGGCTTTCTGGGAGATGATATATAATGAAATGAAAAAGGTATTTAAATATACCTTTCTGAAGAAACCAGAGGCCTTTCTCCTGGGCATTGTCGGCCATTGGTGCCAAAGAAGGATAGAACTTTCTTTATGTATGCCACGACAGCAGCAAGAATACTTATCGCAAAGTATTGGAAGACACAAGATCTACCCACCCTGGAAGAATGGCAGATGAAGGTGATGGACTACATGGAATTGGCAGAAATGACTGGCAGAACCCGAGACCAGGGAGAAGAGTCGGTGGAAGAAGATTGGAAGAAATTTAAAGACTACCTACAGAAATATTGTAAAATTAATGAATGTTAGAATGATGTTGGATGAAAAGTTATGTGGTTTTTAGCTATAACGCTATAAGGAGTATGGGGGAAAAATGGACTATTAAAAGATAAAAATTTAATGTTACATTATTTTAAGATTAAAGATTGGGATAAACAAAGAGGGGAAGGATTTGCTGAACTAACAAATTGAACTGGAATACAAAAAAGGAGGTGTGAGGAGGTCCGGGAAATAAGCAAATGAAAGAAAGTGATGGAAAGATGGAATTGTTTTTTATCTATTTTTATTTTGTATTCTTTTTTCTTTTTTCATTTTGTAAAATTCTAATAAATATCTTTTAAAAAAAACACAAACAAGTCACCCTCCCCAACTGAAGGTGCTTGTGTTAGTGTTCAAAACCCAGAACGGCTCAGGTCCCAAATATCTGAAAGACCATCTTGAGTGCTCAGGTTGTTGTAACCCTGCCCCCAGGACCTCACAGTGAAGGGTGGATAATTCATCACCTTCATCTTCATATTGTCCTGGTGCTTCCTTTCAGCTTCACCTGATACTTGAACTGGAAATTGAGAGGATGAAACAGCTTCACCAGAAGGAGCTGGAGGACAAGGAGGAAGAGCTGGAGGATGTTCGGCAGTCCTGCCAGAAAAAGGTATGGCATGGGGAGGCAGCCACCTTTGTCCTTGTGTGTCCTTAGTCTGGCAGATTTCTGTAGCTCTGGGCATTCCAGCAGACAGAGCTCTCCACTCCTGCCCTTGAAGGCCGTCCTGTTCATTTCACGTAGGAAGCAGCTGCAGTGAATAATGGCTAAGTACCTATGTGTGGCATGGAGAAAGTACTGGACAGCGAGAAGTTATTCTCCCTGTCTCATATGAAGCTGAATGTTAAAAGATTCAGGACAGACAAAAGAAAGGACTTCTTCACGCAGCACATATTAAACTATGTGACTCCCTCCCTTAGGAAGAAGTGGGGTGGCTTTAAAAGAGGATTAGACAAATTCATGGAGGAGAAGGCTATCAATGACTTCCAGGCATACTGGCAAAACTCTGCCTCCAGAGCTGACTCCAGTAATGCTTCTGAATCCCAGTTGCCACTGGAGGGAAGAGGGCTCTTGTGTTCAGGTCTTGTTTGCTGGGTGCTGTGCTGGATGAGCTGTTGGCCTGACCCAGCAGTCTCTTCGGATGGTCTTGTGTTCAGCTGATTTGTCCCACGGACCATTCCGTCTTGTTGGATACAGAATGTGGAGCACAATGGACACTGGAGCTTGACCACTGTCATTGGAAGGCAGATCTCATTGATATATAGGTGAGATTAGTTCTGCTTCTATAAATTAGAGAGAATTGTGGCTGATTATATATGCTTTCTGGTCCCACTGAGTAAAAGCAAGACTGGATTCAAATTAATTTCTTTTTAATTAACTATATAATTATTTCTGCCTATGATGCTTCAGAGGCACTAAAAATATTAGGCAAAGCTTGTTTTCAAAATTATAGTGATATATTAGAAATCTGAATCTAACACGTAATGTTAAGGTCTGCCGCTTGGTATGCATGAATCTTCATGGATTTCCATTTCCTTGGGCTGCTATTGATCTTTTCACAGAAAAGAGACATTATTTTAAAGAACTACAAATAAATCATGATATGGATGAGTGGGGATAGCATCGGCATGCATGTTATGGGCTGGAATTAAGAGATAAAATGATGGGCCTCAGATTGTGGCCCTGATCTTGAAGGTGTCGGTTTTAATGACACCTTTGATGGTTGCCTCTGCAAGTGCCCACTTGTTAGGACTTTAGTCTTATTTTAAATGCATCTGTTGTTTTGTGTTTTAAAATGTTTTTAATTATCTTATATGCAAATCACATTGAGGCGTTGGTTTAGAAGATGATAATCAAAGATAATGATGACAATAATATTGATGACAATAACAACAACATCAACAACATGCAAGGAATCCCAAATTAACCCAGAAACTGTAAGAGGATAGTTTCAATTCTTATAAACGACGCTTCCAATCCAATCAATCAAAAAGGGTCAAGCTGTATTTGTTTTTCTTTCTTGGGTCAGTTTTTCCCAGTCAGGAGCTGCCTTTGAAACAAAAAACAAAGAGCAATTAAAAACAAAAATACCACCAGTGCAATTTCAGGTTTCTGGACATAAGGAAAGTTGTTCTGGTGAAGAAAGGATGGCATTAGCAATGGCTGCAGGCTGCTGCTACTTGCTGGCTCCCCCTCTCAGTTCCGCTCAGTCCATTCAGACATCGCTCTGTTCCTTGGCCTCTTTTACAGCTGCGTCAGCTGGAGATGCAGTGTGAGCAGGAGGGCGAAGAGAAGCAGGCAATTCTCTGTGAGAAGCGGGACCTGGAAGGGCTGATTGCCACACTCTGTGAACAGGTAAGGGAACGGCAATCTGTCAGTGACTTGGAAGGATGTCACCGTTAGGCCCTGGGGAAACAACATAGAACGCCAGCAGTGGAACAGGTGGCTTGTCTCTACCCCGCCATCTCCTTTCCTGGAGATGCAGGGTGGCAAGGGAGCACAGCCTCCAATGCCTTCCTTTCACCCTTACAGAATAAAATAAATGTGTAAGCCAAGGCAGTAGCACACAGGCAATTGTCACCACACAATCTAAACAGTGCAGAATCATAAAGCCTTTTAAATGCCAAAGAGCTCCAAAGTGTCTAGAATCGATCTCAGGCTCACAAGCTGATGGCAAACCAGCTGATTGTGCAATTTCAGGGTGTAGAAGGGAACTCACATAACTGAATGCCCTTCCTTACCTAAAATAAAATGAAATCACAATACTTGCCTATAGAAAATTGAAATTGAAATACTTTATTGTCACTTGTACAACTTGTATACAGTGAGATTACACGAGCACCCCCACTCAGCTCTCTTAGTCTTAATTCCCCTCGTTTACTGACGCACATCCATCAAACCCGAAAGCCAGTTGCCCTGTTTTTATCTTTTCATTCAGTAGCCTAACAGCCCATGGATAGAAGTGAGTGAGGCTGAGAGACTTCAGAGAAGTGTGACTAGCCCAAGGTCACCCAGCAGCTGCATGTGGAGGAGCGGTTGTGGCACAAGAAGACAGGAAAATACTGGAGATAAACTACTGGCTGCGCAGGTGGTGTAATGAGGAAGAGTTTGGCTTCTTGGATCATGGTCTTGAGGAAGGACTTCTGGCAAGAGATGGGCTGCACCTCACAGCAGTTGGCACAAATGTGTTTGCTAGGAGTCTTGCGAATCTGATCAGGAGAGCTTTAAACTAGAACTTCAGGGCGAGGGAGACAACATTACAGATGACAGAAGAATTCACAGTGCTAGGGATAATGGTTTATTTGATGCACAGGAAACTCGCCCTAACCCTAACCCTAACTGAAACCGAAACCTGCTAAAGGGCAAGAAACTACAAGAAGGAAGCAGCTGGAGGGAACAACTCATTGTTTCTGTTGTCTCTACACAAATGCACCAAGTATGGGAAACAAGCAAGACGAATGGAGCTTTTAATGCAGGATGGCAAATATGACTCTGGTAGACATTATTGAAACCGGATGAAACCCATGACTGGAATGTAGAAATTGAGGGGTATAACCTGTTTAAAAGGAATAGACCAAACAGGAAGGGAGGAGGAGTAGCCATTATATATGAAGGATGTGTACACTTGTGAGTGTACGCATCCAGCAGGAGTCTTCATATGTTCTTACATTTTTAGTTGGCTTTTCAGGACCCCTTGTCCTGAATGCTCCCTGCCTCACTTGGCTTTGTAGCTGGGCTCTGCGTCCTTCCTGTGCAGCCTCACGCGTCTTGTGTGTGAGGACAGATTCTGGGTTGCATCTTCAAATACCAAGCACAGTACAGTTAATGGCTGATAACTGTGCAGAATGCATAATTCAGGATGTGTTAAAAGTCATCTTAAGGGCAAGACGTGACCCATGAAAGTGGATTTTGGAGAATTGGAATTTGCTTGGAAGAAGTGGAATTTATACCTTTTCTAATTTGTTAGTTTTAACTTCTTTGAGGTGTGGTGTGTGGAGGGAGAGAAGGAACTAAATTTAAGATGCTTATATTTAATAACAAGATACTGTTTGTTTTTAAAAGGTGCCTTACTGAAACAGATATCAAAAGCAAACTGACATTTTCAAAAATCAGAACTGCAGATTTGTGGAGTAACTCAGTTTAATTTCCAGGTTCTTGCTTTGAACTTGCTGGCCCATTGAAGCTGAGAAAGGCAGCCCCTGTGCCAGCTGCTCCCCCTGGGGCACCAAGGGTGTTCTGCAGTGCTTTCTGTGGCCTCTGCTCTGTGCTCATGGCTCCTGAGGGCCGCTGGAGGCAGGCAGGCAAGAGATTGCTGCTGCTGCCAGTGCCACTGCCTTCCTCTGACCTCCACCACTTGTGATTCATTGGCTGTTTCTGCTAGCAGAAGGAAAGAGCTGCCAATTTGGCCATTGCTTGAAACGCTGCAGAAGAGCTGAAGAAACGCTGCAGAAGAGCGTTTGCAGCCACTCTCTCAAGCCTCCTGCAGGGCTCCCCACGCTGCGGATGTCTGTCCGGCGCGCGGGGCACTCTGCTTCAGGGCGCCCTTCCCGCCGGGCGGCAGGCTGCTATCCGCAGCGTGGGGAGCCCTGCGGGGAACTCCTGCAGGGCTCCCCACGCTGCGGATGTCTGTCCGGCGCGCGGGGCGCTCTGCTTCAGGGCGCCCCGCCTGCCGGGCGGCAGGCTGCTATCCGCAGCGTGGGGAGCCCTGCGGGGAACTCCTGCAGGACTCCCCAGGCTGCGGATGTCTGTCCGGTGCGCAGGGCGCTCTGCTTTTAGGGCGCCCGGCGCTCTGGGAAGCAGGCTGCTATCTGCAGCCTAGACATCCCTGCGGGACCTCCCGCAGGGGTGCCTAGGCTGCGGAGGTGTTCCCGAAGTGCCAGGCGCTCTGCTTTCAGGGCGCCCGACGCTCCAGGAAGCAGGCTGCTATCTGCAGCCTAGACATCCCTGCGGGACCTCCCGCAGAGCTGCCTAGGCTGCGGATGTGTTCCCGAAGCGCCGGGCGCTCTGCTTTCAGGGCGCCCGACGCTCCATGAAGCAGGCTGCTATCCGCAGCCTAGACATCCCTGCGGGACCCCCCGCAGGGCTGCCTAGGCTGCGGATGTGTTCCCGAAGCGCCGGGCGCTCTGCTTTCAGGGCGCCCGACGCTCCGTGAAGCAGGCTGCGGATGTCTTCCTGAAGCCTGGAGAGCGAGAGGGGTCGGTGCGCACCGACCCCTCTCGCTCTCCAAGTGTCAGCGAAAGCCTGCATTCGCCCCATAGGACGCACCCAGATTTCCCCTTCATTTTTGGAGTGGAAAAAGTGCGTCCTATGGGGCGAAAAATACGGTAATTGTCAAAATATATCAATCTATTTTCTTTTTGTTAACTTTGTATCTATGTAAGAAATGACATAAATATATGTTTTACATAACAAATTTAAATTCAGACACACCATTCACCTCCTCATTTAGGATTCCCTGAATCCTTTGACTTCCCTCCGCCCTTCCATGGTTACCATTATCAATCTTTTTTTTTAATCTGCTGATTTTTATCTGCTGATTGATTTATTGCTCAGATAAATCTTGGCGTCCAGCCCGCTTCGGCTGTGCACCCCCTCGGCCAGGCCTCGGACTTCAAAGGCCACATTCCGATGCTCTGAGCAAAACGCAGAGTTAAGCAGCAGCGGTTAGAGAAAGCTGTAAGCTTAAGTGCTTTCTTCAGTGTGCTAAATAAAGTCCACGCAGGATCTTAGCAGCTAAAAGCAGTTTTATTTACAGCAGACTATCCATTGTCGAACAGCATCGTGAAAACACGTCCACTCTCCTCAAAAGCGAAAGTAGAGAGAACAAAGACTTGAGAGACTCGGAAATGACGCAGAGTCTCCCCCCTCCCAACAGTAGGCAGGGCGTACACTCTGAGCTGTTTAACCCTGTAAGCTCAGGTTCTCCTCACACCCCCTCTCGTCCTGCGCTACTGTGGGGAAAGTATGTACAGAACTTACCCCCAACTCCAAACCACCACAAAACTCCCCATGACGCTGGAAGCTTAAAGGTTTGGTAAATCCATCGGCCAAGTTATTGTGACTGGCACAATACTTCAGCCGTATCAAACCTGACTGAACACTCTGACACACATTTTGGAAACGTATGTCCAGATGCTTGGTTCTGGCCTTAAATTGCGCAGATTCAGCCAATTTCAAACAAGGTTGATTGTCTTCCCAAACCGTGATGGGCAAGCTACAATCCCCATAGATCTCTTGCACCAAGCATCTATAGAACTCTAGTTCCCGGCACAAATCTGACAGTGCACTGAATTCAGCCTCAGTAGAAGACAGCGCAATGAGACTTTGTTTCCGGGACTTCCACCCAATTAGTGACTTCCCAAACTTTACCACCAATCCAGACACAGACTTGCGGTCCTGCGAATTCGCCCAGTCACTGTCCACATAGCATGTGAGCTTCGACTCACCTTCAGCTGGCAGCTTAAGACAGAAGTCTTTGGTATGCTGCAGGTAGCGCAGTACCCGCTTGATACCGTGCCAAGCACTCACACTGGGCTTTGACGCTTCCCTACTTAGCAGGTTGGTAGCAAAGGCAATGTCTTGTCTGCTCCATTGGGACAGATACAACAGACTACCTAGAGCTGACTGAAAGAGCTCAGCATTCTCAAACTCAGCACTTTCTGCTTGCTGGCTATCTTTCACGTAGCTCGTCTCCATGGGTGTCCGAACTCCTGCACAATCGGACATTCTGAACTTCTCAAGCAACTGCTCAATCTTGCCTTTCTGACTGAGCAAGAAGCTACCATCCTCAGTTCTCGCTATCTGGGCACCTAGGTAGATCTTTACTGCACCCAGGTTCTTGAGCTGAAACCGTTTCCCAAGCTCTTTGGCAAACTTCCGCACCTGTTTGTCTGCCTTTCCAATGTGGATGATGTCATCAACATAAAACAAAACCAGTTCCTGTGAGTCTCCTGATCCTCTAAGGAACAGGCAACTGTCAGCAAGACTCTTCCTGAAACCTAGCTTCTCCAAAGCTTCATTCAGGCACAAGTTCCAATTCCTGGCCGACTGCTTCAGGCCGTAAATTGACTTGTGAAGTTTCCACACAGTACCTTGCTCATTGCCCTCAAACCCTGGAGGAGGAAGCATGTAGAGATCCTCCTGGAGGTCTGAGTTCAAGTAAGCAACATCCACATCAAAGTGATGCACCAGCAACCCTCTTTGTGCAGCAATGGCCAAGAGCAAACGTAGAGATTCACTCCTACAGGTGGGAGCATAAACTTCCGTATAATGCAACCCCCTGCGCTGCGTGAATCCTCTCGCCACTAATCTGGCCTTATACTGCGGTTCTCCTGTCGCTGTGGGCTTAAGACGGTAAACCCAGCGGCTACCCACGGCCTTTTTGCCCACCGGCAACTTCGTGAGGGAGAACACACCTAGCGACTCCATTGAGTTCATTTCCTTCTGCATCGCCTCATGCCATTTTCTGGCTTCTTCCTGAGGCAGTTTCTGAACATCCTCAAAACTCTCGGGTTCACACTGTGCCATTCCGACCCACACGCTAGTGACGGCAAACCTATCAGGAGGTTTCCCCTTGGTTGTCCGAGCTGATCGACGCAGCACTACTTCAGGAACCCCCTCTGACCCACTAGGGTCAGCCAGAACGTCCTTGGCATCAGAGAGCTCCCCCTCTGACTTACTGCGCCTTCTGGACTTCTCAGCCCAACCTGTGGGGGAAGATGGAGCACTGCGTTGCTCAATCTTCACAGTCTTGGGAGAAGTTCTCTCCTCTGCCTGCACTGGGTCTGGACTCTGAGCCTCAGTAGCAGGTTCAACCTCTTCCTCTTCTTCATCAGCAGAGTCAAGCAGACTCTCTGACAGGATGTCAGGGTTCCCATGTATCCTTGCCCAGCCACTCTGCTCACAGAATTCAGCACTGTTGCTGAGCAGAATCCTGGACTGATTCCCTGACGGATACGCAAACCTCCACCCCTTGGTCCCTGGCTCATACCCACAAAAAATCATCTTTTGGGACTTGGGTTCACCTTTCTTGCGTTTGGCTTTTGGCACACTGTGCTTGAGCCTCCTCCGTGTCACCTGGACCTGCAAAAGAAGCATTCAATACAAACAACCTGTCTTTACATTCAACACTAACTAGGTGCTGTCCATTCTTAGAAATAGAGCACTTATTGTCTTCAAAACACACTCTGTAGTTCTCAGCAAGAAGGGCGCTGACAGACAGCAACGCGCAGGACAGTCCTGGAACAACAAAAGCTTGGATTGAACCCTGTAAGAAAGAACAGGGTGAGCCAGTCTGCGTGAGTGGGTGTCGAGTCCCATCTGCTAAACAGACAGTCTTCCCAGAAGTTACAGAGGTGCAGTTTTCCAGAAATCCTGCAGATGGCACTAGGTGATGGGAAGCACCTGAGTCTATGACAAAAGCCAGCACAGCATCCTGTTGACAACTCTTGACTACAGCCATAGATGCTGCCAAATGTTTACGTTCAGTGTCTCCGCCAGCTGCCTTTGGCTTGCCTTTCCCACGCTTTGAAGAAGAGCCCTTTATCTGGTTGCTACGGGAGACGGCCTTCGGCTGTTCCTGTGCCTCCACTGGACATTCTCTCACCAGATGGGAGGGGGAGCCACAGCGATAACAGCGACGCGTAGCAAAAGCTCTCACAGCTCCCTCTTCAGCCATTTCTGCGTTCCCAGCACCCCCACCTTTGGGTGCACAGCCTGGGCCTGCACGCTCCCCAGCACTCTGGTTGTAGGCCTCAACATCACACGGCCCCTCGGAGACAAAGCAGCTACTCCCAGCTGTAACTTCAGGAACATGGCCAGCAGCCCCCTCTGGGCTCTCAGCTTCCTCCCTGCTCTCAGCTTTCTCCCGGCCCTGGGCTCCTGCTGAGCTTTCACACAGACTCCTCAGCACCTGCCAGGCGGCCTGAGCCGACTCAATGCCCTCCAGGTGGGGCAACAGCAAAGAGTCCACGCTAGCTTTCAACATGCAGAGCTCTCTTTGCATTCTTTGCTCTCTATCTTCCAGCAAAGCAGCCTCCAGGTCTGCTGTGCCATCTTCAGCAGCAACTGGCATGGGTGGGGCTGGCTCCTTCTGGGCTATACTCCAAAGCCCTGTGGCCAAAAACCACCCCCTTACTCTTCTAACCCAGATATCCCAGGACTGGGTTGTGAGCTTTTCAAACGGGACATCATAAAAGTCCTGGAGCTCAGCCATCTCCTCCCCCAGTGCTCCCATTGGGGCTTTGAAGTACTCACGTGTACCAGCCAGCTTCAGAGGAGAGGCATCCAGTAGCTCTTTGTAGCACACAGCATTGCAGACAGTTTCCCTGCATTCTCCCAGGCAGAGCCTCAAAGCAGGACTTTTTCCTCCGGCAGCAAAAACAGCAGCTTCTCAATTTCCACAGCCTTTACACACAGCACTTCAAAGCTTTCTCTAATTGCAGTAACTAACATCCATAACCTGTTAAAGGTGATTGATTTATTGCTCAGATAAATCTTGGCGTCCAGCCCGCTTCGGCTGTGCACCCCCTCGGCCAGGCCTCGGACTTCAAAGGCCACATTCCGATGCTCTGAGCAAAACGCAGAGTTAAGCAGCAGCGGTTAGAGAAAGCTGTAAGCTTAAGTGCTTTCTTCAGTGTGCTAAATAAAGTCCACGCAGGATCTTAGCAGCTAAAAGCAGTTTTATTTACAGCAGACTATCCATTGTCGAACAGCATCGTGAAAACACGTCCACTCTCCTCAAAAGCGAAAGTAGAGAGAACAAAGACTTGAGAGACTCGGAAATGACGCAGAGTCTCCCCCCTCCCAACAGTAGGCAGGGCGTATACTCTGAGCTGTTTAACCCTGTAAGCTCAGGTTCTCCTCACACGCACCGACCCCTCTCGCTCTCCAAGCGTCAGCGAAAGCCTGCATTCGCCCCATAGGACGCACCCAGATTTCCCCTTCATTTTTGGAGTGGAAAAAGTGCGTCCTATGGGGCGAAAAATACGGTAATTGTCAAAATATATCAATCTATTTTCTTTTTGTTAACTTTGTATCTATGTAAGAAATGACATAAATATATGTTTTACATAACAAATTTAAATTCAGACACACCATTCACCTCCTCATTTAGGATTCCCTGAATCCTTTGACTTCCCTCCGCCCTTCCATGGTTACCATTATCAATCTTTTTTTTTATCTGCTTATCTTATTTTCTCTATTTTGTTCAAAGAATAAGAATCCATTTTTCCATAGTTTTTCATACATTACAAGCATTAATCAAATCCTGACAAAGCATCCTTTATGCTGTGTGGACATTGTGGCTCTTCTTTGGCTTAAACCTGGTTGTGTGTTGTCCAGGGGCCGTGGTGTCCCATTGTGCAGCCTGAGGCAAAACAAGAAGCCACTTCTCCTTGCTGCTCTGGCACCCATGGTGGCTCTAGATGATGATGATGATGAAGATAAAGATAAATAATTTATTATTTATACCTGCCCATCTGACTGGGTTTCCCAGAGAAGTGAGGAGAAGTGACCGTGGCGTCTTGCGAGATCTTGCAAGATTCCACAAGATTCCTTGGGGCTCTCATGAGAGCTCACCAGAAGCTGCTGCCACAGCTTCTCTGCCAGCAGTGGAGGATGGGTGTGATGCCCATGACGGTGCTACCCCCCTCATACTCTGCCACCTGAGACTGCTGCCTCCGTTTTTAAAAATTGTTTTTGAATTTTAATTGTACTTGATTGGTGGCTGCCTGCCTTGAGGTCTTGTGAGAGGAAGCAGGAAATTAATTAACGACATTGAAGGAAAGAAGGACCAGCTATTCTGTGGAGTCCCCAGTCTTTTTGGGGGTTGAGGGGCATATCTAGAAATCTAGGAAAATACCTACATTTCCCCCTCAAATAGAAGACAAGACAGATAAAATGAATGCAGGCAACAGCCCCCAAAACAAAGCCATCCCCAACCAAGCAAGAAAAAAGAAACCCTTCATTTTAAGAAAAGCTGGGTGGGGTGGTGGAAGAGGCCTTGGCAAGTGCTGGGGGGGGCGTGTCTGTGCCTGAGGCACAGCCCAATGCTTCCCTCTGCACAAAATTTGCATATGCTAATTTATACTTATGGGTGCAAAGGGGAAAGGGCAAGAGATTTGGGGCTTGGTGCAAGTTGCCCACCCTAAGCCTGCCCCTGCTTTCTCTTCCCACCCCCTTTCCAGATTGGCCATCGAGATTTTGATGTGGAGAAGCGACTCCGGCGTGACCTGAAGAGGACTCATGCTCTGCTGGCTGACATGCAGCTCCTGCTGGAGACCTCAGGGGCAGATGGAGGGTCATCCGGGGGCAGGGAGGAGCTGGAGAAGCTTCGTAGCAAGGTGAGAAGCTGGATGGATGGATGGATGGATTGGTTGACTGCATTTATTATTATTATTATTTATTATTTATTGAATTTAAATACTGCCCTATACCCAGAGGTCTCATGGCGGTTCACAGAACAGATCACAATATATAAAATAAAAAGAAAAAACAATAACCCAATAATAGAAGTAAAAGAATTAATCTACATCCCCAACCCATTCTTTATTTTTTAAAGTGCCTTCAGTATAGACAGTCATCTTTCACAGGAAGCATTTAGAATTTAATTAAGGCAATTAGTTAAATAGATTGTTTCTGTCTTTAATTCCTTGGACCACACTAATTAGTCTCTCCTCTGTGTGTTTGCTTCTGCCTTTCTACTGCTTGCAATCGCCAAGCTGTACTTTCAGCATCTGTTGTTGGAGGGGAAAAGGGATCCTGGAGGGGCCTGGTGTTGTGGACCAGAAGCTGCAGGGAGAGAATCCCGAGATGGATCTCCTTAGATTAGGAACGGGGTGGGGTGGGGGAGGAGAGAGAGTCAAAGGGGTGGGGTGGGGGTGTAGAAATCATTCAGTTTAAACATGCAGAGCCCCACATCTGTTGCTAAATGCTTTTCGGGAAATGAAAAGAGTCACAATGTGTTCTTCCATTTATATGCTGCCTTTGCTTTTGCTGTTGTGGAACTCCTGGCGTCAAACACTGGAAGTTTTCTATCCAGGCTCCAGCCCTCGCTGCCAGTTAAGAACATAAGGAGGGTCCTGATGGGTCAGGCCAATCCCTACCCCCAGTGCAGCCTCCTCTCCTCACAGTGGCAAAGCAGATGTCTCTGGGAAACCCGCAAGCAGGATTCAGGCACAAGAGCCCCTTCTCTCCTTCAGTTTCTAGCAATGGGTATTCAGGGCTGCCCAAGATGTTTTGGCACCTGAGGGAAACTGCAAAATGCTGTGGCTCCTGCTGCCCAAGGCATTCACCTCACCTTGCCTCATGGTTGGGCCGGCCCTACTGGTAGTCAGAAGTTTTGTTGCCACCACCATAGCTTGGATCAGAGCAAGAGGCGGGTGAGCAAGCAAGCCACGTTGCAATGGACAAGGGGAGGTGCAGACCCCAGGGAACACTAGATAGTGGACTTCTTTCTGGGGTGCAGCCCCCCCCCATCAGGTGCCCAACCATGCTGGTTGATGGCATCCCCTAAATGGAAAAAAAACCTGACAAGTTGTTGTAGAAAAGTTTGGCATGTGATGATAAAGTCAAGACTAGCTGCAGGTGTTGATAACGGCACAATGACTTTATTCAGGTAACGTAAGTGCTGTACTTTGTAAATACCCAAACAATAATGTTTGTGTGGAAGGCTCCTCAGCCAGCCATCCAGGTGCAACAGATTGGAGGTGTGTGAGAATGGGATTAGCAGGTGGTGTGTGGGGAGAAGGGGTGATGGAGACTGCTCACAGCTACAGTGGTGCCTCGCAAGACGAAATTAATTCGTTCCGCAAGTTTTGTCGTCTTGCGATTTTGTCGTCTTGCGAAGCACGGTTTCCCATAGGAATGCATTGAAAATCAATCAATGCGTTCCTATGGAAACCGACTTCAGACCAGGTCCGGGGACAGTCTGTCCCCCAACCTCTTCTGAAGGCTGGGGCTTTTCTTCCCACCCCCAGCATTTCTTCCCACCCCCAAGGGCTTTTCTTCCCACCCCCAGCATTTTAAAAAACCCCGGGACAGCGGAGAAGTCTCCGCTGTCCTGGGGCGATCTTAAAATGCTGGCGGGCGGCAACGAAGCCTCCGCTGCCACCCGCCAGCATTTTAAAAAACCCCAGGACAGCGGGGGACTTCTCCGCTGTCCGGGGCGATTTTAAAATGCTGGCGGGCGGCAGCGAAGCCTTCGCTGCCACCCACCAGCATTTTAAAAAACCTCTCCACCCCCCCCGCCAGGCTTTGGAGCATCCTTCCGAAGCCTGGCGGCGGGAGAAGGTCTTTCCGCCCCCCTGCCAGGCTTCGGAGCATCCTTCCGAAGCCTGGCGGCGGGAGAAGGTCTCTCCGCCCCGCCGCCAGGCTTCGGAGCAGCCTTCCGAAACCTGGCGGAGGGGCGGAGAGACCTCCTCCCGCCGCCAGGCTTCGGAGCATCCTTCCGAAGCCTGGCGGCGGGAGGAGGTCTCTCCGCCCCCCTGCCAGGCTTCGGAGCAGCCTTCCAAAGCCTGGCGGCGGGAGGAGGTCTCTCCGCCCCGCCGCCAGCCTTCGGAGGAGGTCCGAGGACAGTGGGGAAGACGCGCTGCGCTTCCCCACTGTCCCGGAGATTTCCCTAGCAGCTTTCGTCTTGCGAAGGAAGCCCATAGGGAAATTCGTTTTGCGAAGCGCCTCCAAAACGGAAAACCCTTTCGTCTAGCGGGTTTTCTGTCTTGCGAGGCGTTCGTCTTGCGGGGCACCACTGTACTCTGATTCAGTCCTGCAAAGCACATCCCTACGCCTGACAGAAGAATTGCATGGAGGGTAATGGCAATTTAGTGACACCAGTCTTCCAGAGCCATTAAATCAATAATCTGCTTTGCTTATTTCCATTGAAAACATGCCATTCTGGAGAAGTAGGCAATTACAGCTAGCACACATCTATAATTAGGATAATAATTCTGGGTAAATAGCATCTGTGAGCTGCAGCTGTTTCTTCCCTGGCTTGATGGGAGGAGGCAGCAGGAGGAAATAGATGGTCAAACCTTTTCTGGGCTGGTGCCCTTGGCTGTGTGTTTGCAGCAAATGCTGTCCTCACAGCCAGTCTCTACTTGGCATGCCATTATGTGCAGGAAAGTCCAGGTGTCTGGCTCCTTTGCAGAAAAGCAGGGTTAGGGAGGGATGGTTAACAATGGAGAAAATTGTTGGGAGGAGGGAATCTAAGCTGTTTCCCTGCCTTCTGAATTTCCTGATAAAACTCTTTCCCCAAACTGAGCTGCAGGCATATATTTGAAAGTGGGAACTAAAAACCTGACCTGCTATGAGATATATTCTTCCCCATTCTGAAAATACTGTGAGGGTGGTAAGCATTGCCAAAATCCCACAGTTGTGGGTGAGTTTTCTCAGTCCATGTATTTTGCTGTTTTTATGTGATTATTTGATAAAACTAGAATACTGACACCTGTTCATACATGCATCTGTATTGGACTACAGCATGGATTTTAACCTCATTTCTGTCTTGGTCGTTTGGATACTGAAGCTGTGGTTGCTAGATTTCCTCCTTTGCACTCACCATGCAAAATAATCTCTACATTTTTTAAAAAGTGCGTATCCCATCACTGGCAGAAGAAGGGGGTGCGATGGGTGCGGGCCACCCTGGGTGTCATCTCTGAGGGGGGTGACATCGCCCCCCGCCCCACGCGCCGCAGGTGGCACCCCCTGGGATGCTCGCCTCGCCCTGCCCTGTGGGTGGCTAGCCCCGCCCACGGGTGCACAGCATGTGCGCCATTCTGGGGGCCAGAGCAGCTAGCTCCGCCTCTGTTTCCCATAATAGATGACTGGAGGTATTAGTCTTCTCACCACAAGCCTTTAATCAAGGGAATGGAGCAGCTCCTTTACAAAGAAAGGAGAGAGAGAAAACGTTTTCTCTCCTTGTCCATTGCAACTGTTACTTGTGGATATCGGATGAAGCTGAAAGTTGAAAGATTCACTGGATCCTTCCTGAATCATCTGCAGCTCTGGCTTAAATATTTTGCACGGCAGAACTGTATATCAACAAATGCAAAAGCAAAACATAAGCAGAGCCTGTCAAAGAGACCCTCTCGTCCCTTCCAACTGTACAGTTCTATGATTCTCTGAAAGGGTTTCCCACATTTCCCTAGGATGAAGAGCATTGTTCTCCAGTGCTCCCTTTGCCAGCATTTGGCAGCTTCCCTCATCTGACATGATGGCTTTCACTTTTAATCTGGCCTGGGGAGAATTTCCCCCTCTGTTTTTTCTGGGTGTTAATGCCACATTTAAAAATTAATCTCCACTGGTCTGCTGGGCTCTTCTTTGGCACCAAAGACAGATGATGTTCATTGACTTTCATTTTCCCTTCATCTCATTTGGGTTTAATTGGGCAATCTGTTATGATTTGACAAAGGCTTTTACGAAACACTGCTTGCTTTTTTTTAACACCCCCCAAAAAGAGTTTTTTCTGCAACATTGACCTTTCTGGGAGCTGTTGCCAGAATAAAACAGGCTTTCTCTCACCCGAGTCAAAGACTTAGTTTGGCCCACACAGCCCATGCATGTTTGCACACTCACAACTCAATACATTTGTTTTAAAAGGCATAAAAGTCGGCAATATATTTTTTGAATAAAAAGTTTTATTTTTTATACTATTTTTATTGATTCCTTACGTTTTCTTTCAGCCCCCTTCCTCTTACGTTAGGAAGGCAGGCATGGCTAATATGCACTGAGCCAACCATCCACCCTGCAAAAGCAATGCAGCAAAGCAGTAAATTGAGACTTACACTGCAAACCTTGGGTGGAGAAAAGGGAACAAAGAAGTAAATAACTATGTTACTTATAATTCCTTATACTGGGGAAACACTTGCAGTGTGTAACAACTTTTAAAGATTTTTAAAATACATACACAAACCCTTTAACTAAAGTCTGAAAAATAATTGCTAATTTCCCGATCACCCTAGATATGCAACATAACCTTAGGAAAACAGGATAAGTTAGGCAAAAGACAGCCAGGTATTTTAAAGTGATTGTTAAATTCTTCCACTCCCACAAAGTCTTTCCAAACCAGTCTGCCATCATACAAACACATGTATGCCTTCATCATACACTCATGCCTTCATCATACAGGCAGACACCCACCCCAAGTAATAAATATTATACGCAAGCATTTCACTCCATTCAGAACTTGGAATGCATTTCAAATAACTACGGTCGGTTGTTTCATTGAGCTACACACAGGAAAGTAAGGGGGTGAACAATTTCCCTGCCAGGCTGTGATAGGATTGCAATGGAAGGATGTTTTCTACTTGAAATAAGGCTTGCAAAAAGCATTTCTTCACCTTACCTG